TCATTCTTAAGTTTGTTTCATTCAATTTTTTTTTCTTTCTTGATTGTTTTTACTGTCTGTTCGAAATAAATAAATAAACAAATAAATAAAAATAAAATAAACACAACAACATCCTACAACACGATCTTCCATTGGATCAGATCCAAAAGGTTTGGGGTCCACCCTGGACAGGTTGCCAGTCTGTTGCAGGACAACATAGAGACACACAGAAACATACAACCACAATCTAGAGAAGCCAATTCACCTAACAGTCATGTTTTTGGACTGTTGGTGGAAGCCGGAGTACCTGGAGGGAAGGCATATATGCACAGGGACACCATGCAAACTCTATTCAGAAAGACCCCGGGATGGGAATCAAACCTGAAACCTTCTTGCTCCAAGGCAACAGTGCTGCCATCTGTGTCATCTTGAGGCCCACCTTTGTATTGTCTTTCCGCCAAATTTTAATTTCAGCTGAAAAAAACTGGAACTGTGGAAAGAACAACATTCTTTCAGGGTATTTTTGAAGGCTTTGTCCAGGTGATAGCCCGTTTAGTAATAGAACTGCCACTGAGCACGGGGTAGTGATGTAGAGGGCATTACTTTTTCATGGGGGCACCAAACGAAAAAATGAAACAAAAAACTGGGAAATGGTTCATCATTTGACAATCATATTTAGAGAATCAAAAAGGCATCTGAAACACTGGAAACCTTAAATGGACCAGATGAAAAAATGTGATCATATCTCAATATGACTTAAAGCTGCAGTCTGTAACATCTGTAACATGGAGTGTGAACCGGTAAGAGCTATAACACTCGCCTCCAAGCAGCTAGATATAAGATGCTGGTTATACCGAAGTTTGCCGTGTAAGCAGTTGTCGGCAGGGGAAGTAAGGGCAGTTTCTCTTTCGCTGGTGGCTGTCGCTCCAGCATGACTTCCACACGCGTCCTCCTGACTGCGGCAGCCGGGCGCTGCGGCAGGTTAAGCGGCGAGAGGGAGGGGGCGGGATTCAGCGTGTGTGAGCTGTGATTGACACTCCATCAGACGCTCCTCTGGCTGTGATTGGTTGTTTTGACTCGTCCCGAAATATTCTTTCCAGATTGAAATACAGGCAGTAGGCGGGACCAATTGAAGCAGTTTTTTTCACAGGTTACATATCACATGTACTGCTGTCTGGGCATAGGGACAGTTTTAGCCAATAATACAAAAAAGTGATTTTTAAAAACTTACAGACTGCAGCTTTAAGCTCAAATTGCGACCGCTTCATTTTTCCATTATTGTAAAGAAAAAAAACTTTAAAAAATAAAAAAAAAAATGTCCAAGGGACCCATCAACAGTTTCTATACCATTACATGTGATAATTTATTTATCATAAATTTATTTCGTAATATGTCTTTACCACAGGGGCCACAACAGGGTCTAGAACCACCTAAGGTAGTGGTAAAGTAAAGTAAGATAAATTTTTCCTAAAGGTTTTTTAACATGACCCTCATTTATGAAAAGGCCATTTAAAAAAATGTTTTTTTTTATCAAAAGCTAGATTAATGTGAAGGGAGGTTCATGTCCATTCCACGCTCAATTTCTGTGACAGCTTGGTTGTTATTTTTTAAATATCCTCAAATGTTTCTGTTTTCCTTTAGGTTGAACATGGTGATTATGAGCGAACTGGTGTTTCCTCTCCTTCTGGCTCCCCTCACTCTAAATCGCAGCTAATTCTTCTGCAAGCCTTGGAGCGCTTCTACCCAAAACGCTACAAGCAGGACTGCACCACAGAGCAGCTGAGGTCAAACAAACATCATCCCTTCAGTGGACATGATGCTTTGCTTTTATTAGGTTTATGGTGCAATGAAACAAAATGATGAGATTCATTATCACTGGAAAAACAATCTACAAATAAGTAACAATCTCTTAAATTCAGTGTATTTACCCTTAATTTTAGTATGAGTATGAGTATTTGTACTCTTAAAATAAGATAATTAGATAACATGCACTTCAAATAGGACAATGCATTTGTGTTTTCTTATTTTAAGTGTAAATTGTCTTGTTCTATTGGCAAAATGTCTTTTTTACCTCCTTAATCCAAGAACAAATGTTCAATTTTTTTATTTTTCTTCTCTCAGGGATCTTACTGAGCGTCTGGCCTCCAAGTGGTCGATGCTTCGTGGCTGCAGTGCATCTGAATGTGTGAGAATATATTTGACCGTGGCGAGAAAATGGCCTCTGTTTGGGGCCAAACTCTTCAGCGCCAAGGTATGGTTTTCAGTCTCTTCCTTTCTATCGCTGTTGTTGGGATGAAATCTTTTTTGTCAAGCAAATAGGTGTTATATCTGACAGGTATGTATTTCTATCAACAGCCTGTGCCTCCTTCTCCTGTTGACCAGAGACAGGTGTGGCTGGCAGTTAGTGAGGATGGACTGTGTGTGCTGGATGCTACGATGGTGAGCTTGAAGATTTGTGGGGAAAAAAACGATATCTAGCTCATTTAACACTCGAGGAATTCTCCCTTAGGTGACATCTGAAGGCTTTTTACTCTAAAGCTCAAAAACGGATGTTGGTTGTTAAAGCTATGCTGCACAACTGGTTCAGCCACAACTGCAGAGCTGCCTTGACCCTTTGGCCTGAGATTTTTATTTTTTTTATGCCGCCGTGTGTCAAGAGCCAGAAGTCCAAAGGAAAATAAAATGGTCTGCCTCAGATTTGACAAACTTAATCCTGACAGACGGCGGTTCCCAACATGTAAGCTCTCGTAACGCAACCTCTGTAATTTTCTACAGCCTGTGTTGATGTGTTTCATTCCTCGGTCTGGCTCACTGTGCGGCTAGTCGTTTCAGAAGAGCAGAGACACAGAAATGTAGTGAAAACTGTTTCACACCGTTATGCTATGTTAAGCCCACAAAAAGGACAAAATTGAAGGGATTTTCCGTGGGAAACCCAAACATACACTATGGTTATGGTTTTCTACTGTTTTTATTTTATTATGTTGCAGCACACCTTGTTCACATACCCCTACCATTCAGTAATCACATTTGGTGGGTGCCAGGAGGATTTTATGGTGGTCACCAGCCAGCAGAGAGAGTCTGGAGCTGGGAAGAAGAATGTAGAAAAGCTGGTTTTCGCAATGGATAAACCAAAGGTACGTTTTCTGTGTGCATCAGAGAAAAGTTCAAGTTATTAAATGAAATGTTTTTGTTAAGATCTTAAAAACATCTTCTCAGCTGGTAGTTTTTTTTTTTCTTTTTTAAATTTAAAGAAACATTAAAGATATATATTTCAATGTTTATTAGAAAGTGCCTTAAATCTTCAAGATTAAAGTTGTTTTCTGCTAAATTGATATCGTATCACATTTGAAATGTTTGTATAGTAACAACCCTAGTACCAAGATATGAAGAGAAAAAATGTGCCAAAGTCTTTCAAAATAACAGAATGTATGAGCAGGATGCAGTGCTGCATTCAGACTGTTGTTCTGCAGGTGAAATCATATCATTCAGAAAGACGGAAAGCTTTTAAATGATGCAGTTAAACAGTTTGCAGTGTATTTTCTGCAACACAGCCTCTGGTAATGCAGACTATGGAAGGGAGGGTGCAATCAGAACTGACAAAAGACTGGATGGCTGCACTTGTCAAAATGTTCCTATATGTTTTAGCTCATTTTTTGCTTCTTCCTAATAGCGTTGTTGTCAAGACCAACCCAACCAAGACTATGGGCCGGATCTATCAAAGGTTTGCGTCTATAAAAACGTGAGCTATTTCACTGCGCACGCTAAAAAATGTACAA